GAGAAGACATTGTTCCTTTTAAGAAAATGTCATCATTTGATCTCGAACGATCAAATGGTTGCGAGGGTGTTCGCCGAGAGTTTCTTCCGCGCGAACGTTCGCCAGTTAGCATTACAGTAGATTATTGAGTATTTATTGGTTACTATATTCTCTAGAAACTAGTCACCACATGATCATTCTCTCAAGAAAATGTTCACTTTACCCCCTGATTACAATATTTATTCTAAACACGATTATTCTCTCAAGAAAATGGTCACTTCTTTTGTTCAAATATAGAATGAAGTCCATGGTTTGCTGCAACCAAATCCTTGCCACTATTTTGATCTCTTGGAGGCCCCTCTCTTCGACGTCCTTGGCTGACGCCATCGCCACGTGGTAGGCCAGCACGCAGAAGCGCCAACAACCAACAGATCCAAAAAAGTGCGAACCCCAAGACCAAGAGGGGCATTCAGGTCATTCCACGTACGTGGGGCCAGGTCCTCCTCTCGTAATCGTCCTCTCCGGAAACGGGGGGCAGGAAATGACCATCGTGCCCCGAGTCTTTATTCCCTCCCATTTCTGCCGCTATCTTTTCGGAAAGCCCCCGGACCCAACCAGACCCAACCCAACCACCCACCCACCCACCCAACCCTGGTTAGCGCTCTGCCACGACCTGACGCGCCCGTCCCATCAGATCCCGCAGGCAGGCACATACACCCGTCCCACCATAGGCCTCCCCCTTGCGCGTGGGCCAGGCCATTCATTGCACCGCGCCGGTGTACAAGGACCGGGCTTACGGGGTCGTGCTTCACCTCGAAGGAATCGACCCCATCACCTCCCCCCTCTTTATCTCGGAGCGGCCGCCGCCGCAAACCCTAACCACGGTTCCGATCCGGTTCGACGACGACGAGGAAGGAAGGAGCGAGACGGGGGCGGAGCGGCCAGATCTGAGGAGATCCGACGGAGGGTGGAGCGGAGATGGTGGTGAACGGCCGGCCGCTGAAGAAGGCGAGGACGCGCGCGGAGGCCAGCGACTTCGCGGGGTTCCCGGCGGCCACGGACGGCGGGGCGGTCGGGACGTTCCGGGAGGCGGTGAGGGGCTTCCTCGCGAGGCACGCGCGGCTGCTGCCGCTGCCCTCCATCTTCTCGCCGGCGGCCGCGGCCGCCCCGCCGCACCTGCTGACGTGGAGGGTGTCGCTGCGGGTCGGCGAGGAAGGGGCGGAGGAGGACGCCGGTGGCTGCGGTGTGGAGCTCAACGTCGTCGAGGAGGATGTGCTCAGATCGCGATCTGTGTATTGCGATCAGTGCAGAGTCGTAGGTGAGTTGCTTTCCTTTTCCCCCTTTTCTTTTATTTTTTTGTCTCAGAACATTGTTTTCCTCGTATAAAATTGTGTTTTTTTCTGTTGGAAAACTTTTTGTTGAATAATGTCCTGTTTGTCTTTTTATTATTTATATTGATTTAATTTTTTAATTATTTTGCGTGTTTGATTTTTTTCGAGTGACAGGTAAATGCCGCCTGTATGGCATCGCATGTTTTCCTGTATTTTTTTAGGCCAACTGTTATCAAATTTTATTGTTGGGGTGTTGCTTTTGAGCGAACAATGTGCATGATTATTTTCGTTCTCCTGATTGTCACAATCATACAGTAGCGGTGATGGAATCTCATTTTCTAATGCATCTGTGCGCTGTTGCAGGATGGAGTGGGCACCCGGTGTGCGGCAAGCGCTACCATTTCATCATCGAGAACGACAGCATCCAGATGGCTGGCCGTCGTCGCACCTGCTGCCTGCGCTGCGGGACTCCCATGGCAGCTGCAGAATCAAGGTTGGAAGAACAAACATGCATATCAGTTCTTGGACAAAACGAACATACAATTCTGCATGTATATCTGAAGAAAAAATTACATATCACCGAACGATTGAACTGCATGCCCAAATGGTTTTCCAGTCGTGCGAAGTTCTTGAATTGGTTCAGCCCATGTGCTGTATGTGCGATTTTATTTTACAGTCTGTTCAAAGATTCTTCTCTGTGCAAAGATGTATCCTTACCTTGGATGCAATTTCTTCTCCAGGTGCCTCCTGTGCAACTTTGACATGGAAGGCGAAGAGCTGGAAGAGTGCGGCTACCTGCATCTTGATGATTCCTCTCACTTGCTGCACGCCGTTGTGCATGCGAACGGCTATGGGCATCTTCTCAGGGTAAATGGCCGTGAGGGCGGGTCGAGGCACCTTACTGGCCGTGACATAATGAGCTTCTGGGATCGCCTGTGCAAGGTGCTGCATGTCAGGTAAACGGCTTTTACTGCTGTTGATGGTGCACTTAGGGTGACATGACATGACCATTATTCAAACACCATCCATCCAGCAATAGCACTGAGAATTCCATTTGGCCCCTTCCAGGAAGGTCACTGTCATGGACATATCCAAGAAGCAGGGAATGGACTACAGGCTTCTGCATGCCATCACAACTGGGCATCCCTGGTATGGTGAATGGGGATACAAGTTTGGCGCTGGTAGTTTTGCTCATACCTCGGATACCTACCAGGAGGCAGTTAATGTGCTCTCCGGTATACACCTGGCGTTATACTCCTCACATCGCAGCCCCATCAGAACCCCTTTGCAGAACACAATTGCTCTGTATTGGTCCCTTTCTGATCGACAGCTTGTGACTGTGAGGGACCTCTTCCGGTTCATAATGCACCTGCTTCACCAAGCTCGTAAGGACGCTGAGATGTCAAAACCAGCCATGGATGAGCATAGAGAAGTTGAATCGAACGTGCTCTGCATGTGGACAAATGAAGACATCAACCGAGCTGAAGCTGCAATGCTCAAGGTCCTCCGGGCTGTCCAAGCTGGGCGCTGGGTGTCCTGGCGTGCACTGAGGGGAGCTGCATCGAAGGCTGTTGATTCACAGGAACTGCTTGATTACTCTCTTCGAGGTCTGCGGGGGAAACTGATGGACGATGGCCATTTCATTGCTGTCCGCTGCAATACTGAGACAAGCGCAATTGAATACAGGTAAACTTTGTCTCCAGTATGTTGCTCCAATTTGCAGAACTTCATCAGGCCTTGTCTTTGACCCTTATTTCATGCCAAAACAGGCTGGAAACATATTCCAATCAGTCCCCAGTTGATGCAACTGTGTTTGGACCCTCTGTAGTGCATCTTGCACATGATCTTCGCTTCCTCTATGATGCTCTGCTGAACCCAGAAAGAATGCTGTCTTCGCAACCAGAGGTGGTGGGTGCATCAGCACACAATGCAGCTGCAAGGATACTTGACTGCAAGCAGTTCATCAAACACTACGATGAGAGTGCTCCAGAATCTCCCCCGAACCCAATCCTGCTTGCTGTGAGGTGCTCCATTGAACTGCTTGATCACCCAAAGGACTACACTGCACCTCCGGTGGAACTTGTACTTTTACCAGCAACCGCTACCCTGGGTGAACTGAAAATGCTGGCCGCAAGGGTCTTTCAAGAAACGTACCTCATGTTCCATAGCTTCCAGGCTGAACAGCTCCCTGAATTCCCAAACTTAAGTGACACAACCCCTGTGAAGCACGTGCTTGGCCCAAGCCAGCTTGTTAGGGTGAGAGGACGGTGCACTGGGGATCACAGGAGAATTGTGCAGTTCAGGATGGAGAGGGGCTTGGAGAACTGGACGGTGGACTGCACCTGTGGTGCCAAGGACGATGACGGTGAGAGGATGATGGCGTGTGATGCGTGTGGAGTGTGGCAGCACACAAGATGCTCAGGAATCAGTGATTTTGAAGAAGTCCCTGAAAAATTCATCTGCAGGAAGTGTGCCAGTCCACGCAAAGGAAAGGGGGGTCGTGGTGGTGGGGGTGGCAGTGGTGGCGGCAGAATGGAGATGGCTTCTGCCGGGAGGTGCAAGGATGAGATAGGATCGTCTGTTGGTGGTGCGGGCAAAATTGGGCGCCTAGCAACTGTTGGGTGACTGTACATAATGTAGTGAAATGTAAATACTGAGAGCTGAGAGTGGAGAGCAGCGCCTGAGGCCTCTCTGGACCTGTGGTTAATGGAATCTTTGTCTTTTGACCAGTATTTCTTCTATTCCCTCGAAGTAATCCTCTGTTTCTGTTAAATCATCTGGTGTTCTGCATTAGAACGAGAAAAAAATAGTGAGATGACACGAATAAACCATGACGGTTCAGTAATTACACATTTTAAACATATCGGATATATTTCTACTTCACAAGACAGATTAAATTCAGTGAAGCATAATCGAGCAAAACTACAAATCTAAGTGAAACTATCAAGATTGATGTCTTGAAGACAAATAAATGTAACTACTGGTTATGTGTTTAACTGTGTGAAAATATATGATATTATGTTCATAAGCTAGGCACATCTGAAACATAAAAATGATATATAGTAACACAAAATGATATATTGTTTCATGATAAGCTGTGAACTTCCATTACAAAATACCAAAAAGTCATAGCAGTACCTATCCATTATCATTTATCATCTTACTGCTTAAACAAAGAAACGATGCCATGATGAGACTGTTCAGTTTGTCCTAGTTTTGTTCTATTTGGAATGAAAACTGCACAAACCCCAAACAGATTAAACGTGAAAGAACTTACTTACCACAAGTTTGTTGGATAACAAGTTAAAGCTTGTCTTGACGACGTTTGAAATGATAAATCTGTAAAATAAAAATTCACTAGAACTTTAAGCATGAAAGCAGAGGTACTGAGCAATTAGCGAATGGTAAGTGTGGAGATAGAACAGAGGGCACATACCTATACCTTATTTACGCTGCAAAAAGAGCTTCCTCGGGTCATTGATTAACAAGACAGGTGTGCGACGAACATGAAATCTGCACAGAAAATAGTGTGATTAAGTAACTGCATTTATGAGGACTAATAGCAGATGACAGTAGTTACAAATCAAACATCGTCAAGGATGTTAAAGCTACTCCAAGTTGGACGGTGTACACATTTTATACTTCTATAAATCAGAGTCATAAGGCACAACAACAGCCTTAGCACAAACGTGAGGTGATAGTGCAGTGCTGGGCAATGTCTTGAAGGCTGTTTGTAGAGTGGGCATATCGGTGATTATGCCATCACCTTTAACAAACATGGCTATTCTGGAGATTACACTTGTATGTTCATAAATCGTCATAACAAATGCAATATTTTAGTGTTGAAGAAAAAGAGTACTAGAAGCTTCTACTGAATATAATTATCTATTTATAAGTGTAATCAATTGCTTAGATCTGAAGGCAGAAAGAACTACATAATATCCAACCATAAAATCGTCACTTTATGTGTTCTTCGAAATATTGATGGTTACACTGTGTGTGCTCACCAGAATTTTAGCAAATGTCAAAAGGAACAAACTATACATAACAGATAGCTAAGTAAATTATGCTTTCCATATATGATCATGAAAAGTAGAAGGATGTTGTAGACATGAGACTTCATATATAAATATTTAGAGCCTACTTGGTTTGAGCCAAATTTTGGCAACCCTAAAAAATTGGCAGTTGAATGCTTGGGCTCCAATTTCTGGCAATTCTTCGAATCAAACACTAGCAAAGTTGCCAAATGTTGGCCAGTCTGAGCTTTGCCAAAAATTGGCAAGCCAAAATGTGGCTCCAAAGCAAGCAGGCTCTTATTTACTGCATGCAGCTTCTGAGATCCTGAACAGAGTAAAGATCTTGGATTCTCTGGTATGAGCTAGAAAAAACTGATTAATCAGAGTTATCGTGTTGATTGATATTATAGCACTTATCTACGCGCATCCTATCAAAGATCAAAAAACTAAGCTGATCACAGCTAGCATCTATGTTCATCAAACATTCAAAGGGTTCTCAACCGGCATGATGACACTGAAAATGAACTCTGTTCGGCGTTTAGCCACAGCTATACTCTTATGACCAGCAGCAACTGAGAAGTAAGACCAGACCTAACATTTCATAAGTGCCACAAATGACACATCTGGTGTCCATCGTACCACTTCCCAAGAAACTGAAGCTAACAATTCCCTCCACAGAGTTCAAAACTGCAAGCACACAGAAAGGATGATCACCAACTAAGAACCTATAAACTATCAAACGCTAACACATTTTCAAGCCTTCAAAGACACAACTCTTATCTTCTTAATTTCTCCTACTTGATAAAATGCTAGTATTGAATATTTACACCCTTGAATGAAACAGAATCAACCAAGTGGCGAACCAGATATTCGAAACACTGGAAGCAAGCCAATCGTGCACCAGAACCTGAATAGAATACCTGAAAAGAGCAGCCGGCCACCAATGCACCTAACGGGTAGCAAGAACACGAGGGTGCGCATCGCCTTTCCAGCACCTGCCTTAACACATAAGACACGAAAACGCAAAAGACTATTATTAAGCCCTAAAATGATCCGAGCCACGCGGAACCAGAATCACAATCACTAATTGTTAATTAACTACCAGATTCCGAAGCCGGCTAAAACATCGAGGGGATAATCAGCACATACCCCAATTCGGAACGCGAGCATGGAACCCTAAAATCCGCCCGGCCGAAATACGAACTCCGAGCTCGAAGCAGGGGCGGATCAAGACGGCGCGCAGCGCGCGTGCACCAGCGCAGCCGAAATTCGTTGAGGCCGGCTGAGCTCATCCAATCGCCGGATTACATGAAGCTCACCGATGGTCGCCCGGCCGAGGCTGCGAGCGGGGTGGGGTCGAGGCAGCAAGCGACCCGCGCGATGAGGCCGATGGCCGCGACGCGCGTGGCGAGAGGCGGAGGGCGCTGGCAAGCTGCGGGGAGCTAGCTCGAGGGCGCGGCGCGGGGGTCGTGGAGCGGGGCGGGGAGGCTGGAGGCGCATCGGCCGGGATTGGAGCTTGCTTGGGAAGGGCAGGGGCAGGGCGGGGCGGGGGTAGGGTAGGTCAGGACTCGGGAGAGGAAGAAGAAGACTGCGGGAGGAAACGGGTACGGGGGAGGACGGGACGGTGGAGAGGAAACCGTGGAGATCTCGCCTCACCCTTCGACAGCAGATATTTGGGTAAAAAAAGAAAAAGAAAATGCGAGAGCACTAATATCACGAGGCGCTGTGAGGAAAAGCTGATACAGCGTGGTTTCTCTGCGGATACGTAATTAATGTGCATGATGATGGGGTCGGAAGGCCGCATCGTATCTGCGCCAATGCCACACGCAAGGTGAGGAATTGGTCAAGGATTCGGTAATAGGAGTACTGTTAAACTAATATACTAGAAAGCCTAAAAAAATGTTTATATACTACGAGGATCAATTCGTTTTCCACCGGGAGAAAAGTTTGTCACCGAATTTCAAATTTATCTTGTGATCACGTGACGGGTCTTGGCGACCTGTCCAGCCGTAGGCGGCGCTGCCCAGCTCTCCATGGCCATGGCGTGGCGTCAGGCACTCACTATTACGGTTAGGGCCATGTCTTGTCGCTCGTGTCAGCCGCGGCTGGGCTGAGTCAGGCTCGGTGAGACGCCTCGTGCGGGCCTCCTGTTGCTTACCCTATTCGGTTAAGGGACGGGGCACTGACTGGTCAGCGTGCGGTCCAGTCCCCACCCCACGCGGTCGTGGAAAGGAGGAAAGTGTCAGCGCTGGGTGGTAGCAGGGGCGTATCGTATCGGGTGTGCTCTGTTTTCGTTGTTTTTACAGAGCCGGTCAAAGTGAGCCACCTGACGGCATTGTCAGCAGGGTAGCAGCATCTAACCTAGCATGGAACTCGCTAGATACGTGTCCATGTCGCTGGATGTTCTCATCTTCATCCCGTGGCGTTTCGTGGGCCGGCACTCTTGTGCACCGAGAGGCGCCACACGTGAGAGGAGATGGAGTAGATAGCACTGATGACACGTACTGTGACCTTTTCTCCTTGGAGGCGGGCGGAACGCTCCATCTTGGCAGCATCGTTGCATGCAATCTTGGGCGGTTCTGCGCTTCAAGACGATCGAGGAGCTGCCATATCTTGTTTGCACCGGCCAAGGGAAACCGCATCTTTCAGGGACCAACCCGCGAGCCTGCCCATCGTGCTACCGCAGTTGGGGAAATATTCTTTCGCCCTTGCATCTGTCTACCCTCAACCTCAGGAAATCTCAGCATCACGAAGTTTGGCCGTCCTCATAGCACACCTCTGTTGAATGTCATCAACCTTGGGAAGATCCAGGATGCGAGCACTCATCCGTCTCCCCATCGAGACCGGGTCAGGGATCCCGTCGAAAGCAACAACCTCTGTTGGAAATATGAGCAATTTACCGAATGATTTTATTAACAGAAATACTAGATAAAACATGACTAGTATAGCAGTGATAAAACAAGTCATACGATTTGACAAAGTGAAGGTAAATAACATCTGCATATATGCTAGAAAGAATCATCTCTCGAGCAGACAGTAGATCAAGATGCATATATAAGATAGATCCTAACATGTGTAGGATAAACACTACAAGAAAGAACTGTGGGAGGACCTCTAACAGGAAAAACAAGAACACGTACTGGACAGCAGCTGGAGCAGAGGCACTGGACTTGGGGTTGGTGTCCTCCATGTCGTCGAGGAGGTTGTCGACGTCGGGGAAGTAGTCGTCGGAGTCCGGGACGTCCGTGACGAAGAAGTCAGTAGTCGCGCAGAGCGCTCCCCAAAAATCTTATCACCCTTCTCCCGTACAGGACTCAAAAAGGTGCGGTTTCGGAGGCCTACTGTCCCGACTCGCGGTGCACGCCGCAAGCCAGGATGAGGAAGACAGCAGCAGCGCAGAGATTAGAACCAGTGGCGAGAGGAAGGAGAAGTTCTTGTGCGTCTCTTTGAGAGGAGCGACCTCCCTTTTATAGGGGCAAGAAAAGGAGGCGAGAGGGCAGCGACGGAAGGTGAAACGAAGAGACGAAGACGAAGCGAACAGCCAGTAGCCGAAGGGCTGCACCGTTCGTATTCAAACTCCACTATCGCAAAAACTTTTCAACTTCTGTG